AAGCCAACACATGGAAAGAGAAAACTGTATTGTCGTTACCAGGGGCAATGGGGGCGGGGGGTGGGGGCTGGGCACAAGGGGTGAAGGGAGTCATATATATGGTGATGGACAAACAAAAATGTACAACCCAAAATTTCACAATGTTAAAAACTATTAAAACATCAATAAGAAAAAAAATAATGATCTTTCTCAAGATACCAAATAAAATTTTTTATTTAAAAATTATTTTTTTCTTCTGTTTGTTCCTTTTAATTATAAATGCACATTTACTTATGCACGTACATTGCAAAAAATGTAAAAACATCAGAATGGTTACATATAAAAAAATTAAAAAAATCTCCAACTCTTTATTCTTCAGTGCTAATTTATTTCCCAAGAGGTTAAACAATTTTTTAAAACTAGCATTTTAATTTGGGGAGGGTAACTTACAGAGTGCAAACTTCAAAAGCCAGGGAAAGATGCCATCTCCCTCCCGTTTCCCATTACCCCACAGCAGGTAATCACTGTTATTAGTTTTGTTTGTCCTTCCAGAAAAGTTGTATGTGTATATAAACCAATACAGATATTTTTCTTCTTACTTTTACACAAATGATGAGGTATCACATTCATTATTATTTTGGCAATTGACTTTTCTCCACTTAAATTTTAGAGCCCTTTATTGCTATGTAAAGATTTTCCTCATTTTTTTATCTAGCTAATACTATCACAAGTGAATATACTGATGTACCATAGTACATTTTCCCTATCCTCACTTAATGACATTTGAATAGTTTCCAACCTTTTGTTCTTAGAAACAGTACCGTAATGAAAAACTTTTTATACAAGTCAGTTCCCAGCAGGCAAAGATAACAGTAGTGTATATTGCCATCAGAGAAATCTATAGCTGGAAAGATCTATACATTTGTAATTTTGAGAATGTAGAATTTTCCTTGGTAGCAGTGAAACTAATTTACACTCCCATCAACAATCCTTGAGACTGCCTGTTGACTCATTCCCAGAGAACAAAGTGTACTGTCACACTTTTGGATTATTTTCTAGATGAACAATGGTATCTCATTGTAGTTTTAATATACATTTCTCTTATGAGTTAATTTAAGCAGTTTTTACATGTCTGAGCCATTTGTATTTCCCTTTCTCTGAATTCTCTGTTCACATCCTTTGCCCATTTTTCTATCAGGTTATTGATCTTTTTCTTATCAATTTGTATTGGTTCTTTATAAATTAGGGAAAGTAGCTTTGATGAGTTGCAATATTTTCCCCAGACTATCATTTGTCTTTTGGTTTTGCTTATAGTGGTTTTTTATTTTTTGCTTGAGGAAGATTCACCCTGAGCTAACATCTGTGCCAATCTTCCTCTATGTTGTATGTGAGCTGCCACTACAGCATTGCCGCTGATGAGTGGTGTAGATCCACGCCTGGGAACCGAACCTGGGTTGCTGAAGCAGAGCATGCCAAACTTAAGCACTAGACCATGGGGCTGGCCCAACTTACAGTGTTTTTTCTTCCATGTATAGTTTAGTTTTATGCTATCAATTCATTTTTTCACAATTTCTAGGTTTTAAGTTTCTTTAAAAAGTTTTGTGATTATAAAATAATTCTTACATGTTTTCTTTTGGTATTTTTGTAGTTTCATATTTTATATTTGCATATTGATACATACACATTACATATTGATGGAGTTATTCTAGCACTCTTGAGTCCAACTTAATTTTTCCTTTGGAAAAAAATTGTTCCAATCTTATTAAATATTCCATTTTTTTTCGTCTTGTATGAGATGCTATCTTTATCATAGTCCTAAATCCCCTCTGAAATAGGGACTAATTCAGAACTTTCTATTCTGTCCCATAGGACTGTTTTTTCACACTCCTATGTTATTTATTTTTTTTTTTTAAAGATTTTATTTATTTTATTTTTCCCCCCAAAGCCCCAGTAGATAGTTGCATGTCATAGCTGCACACCCTTCTAGTTGCTGTATGTGGGACTCGGCCTCAGGATGGACGGAGAAGTGGTGCCTCGATGCGCACCCGGGATCCGAA